AGCTCCCGGCAGACGCAGTCCCCCTTAACGGGGAAGGCTGGGGCTCGGGCTGGGGTTTGTTCTGGTGCTGCGCTCTCTGAGCTCGGGGAAGCGGAGCCCGGTGGTGCCGAAGGGCACAGGCATCCCCCCGCCTTCGGCTGCCCGAGGGACCGCGGGGTGCTGCCCGGCGAGGGGCCCGCGCGGCTCCCACGGGCTCGGTGGGTAGCGAGTCCCGCGGAGCCCGTCTCAAGGGGAGAAAAAGTGGAGGTTAAGTTAAAGCAAATTGTCAAAATACATCAAAACTGCCCTTGGAACGGACCCCTAAAGAAAGACCATCTCACAAACCGTCATCTGCGGCGGGGGGGAGGGGAAGGAGGAAACCAGAGACAAGACATTGACCCAGAAGACCATGAATTTGTGCAGGTAATAACAAACTGTGGTGGCAGAGCTGATAGCTTACTAGATACTCCTTTTGCTCAACTTTCCATGCAATTTCTTCCATCTTTAATGGAATAACATCATTTAAAAAAGTAGAAATGTTGGACCAGTAATTACAGGGGTGGGAAGGAGGTGAACAGCACAAAGGCCCGTACTGTTATTTCAGGTACTGGGGGGGCTCAATCCCTTCACCTGTCCTGTATTTTTACTCTGCCAGGCAGGGACTGCTTCATCCTGCCCATAGGATAGCAGGTGAATTCGCTTTTGAATTACACATTGACCAGCTTTTTAAAAAAATAAAAGGATCTTTTCCAGCTCACTTTCAGACGAGCAACGATCTTCCCTCTATTGGTAGCTAAGAGCCGTTTCAGTTCAGGAGCACCCCTTCCCTGTTAGCTGCTGCCTACATTCTCCTTTTCCCATGCATTTTTTTTTTTAACGTGGTCACTACTCTGTCAGATCCTCTTCATCTCCCAAATTCAGTACTTTCCCGTGACAATTATTTTTCAGATGCGGCTGGAGCTGTTTTCTCAGCCTGCTTCAAGACCTGATGGTTTGGGGTGAAGGGGGGAACTTGCATAAAAATCTAACAGCTTAGAAATCGTGTTGTAAAGCTACATGAACAGACAGCACCTTTTAAAAGAAACCTTCCCTGAGACACAGGTCACAACCCCCCAGCCTACAAATGAATTCATGTTTATTGAAATTAAAAGACAGTCACAGCAGGTAAAAAGCAGAGGTGGTTAGGAGAGGAAACGCGGACGTCCTGTGAACAGAATCCGGTAACAAAGTTCCGTTCCTGTGGATGTACATCTCTTCTCTGTAATCGCACTCCTTGCCTTCCCCCAGCCCATGACAGTCGCAGGACTCCACCTCCTTCCACGGACAAGATGGCAAGATCCCACCAACATGGTCTACTGGTGTCTCGTCCTTCATCTCTTCTCTGACCACGTAGTGATTTCCACAGGTTCATAGGAACGTAAATGATCTTTGGGACTACAACCCTACTATCACATTTTGTTACAGTTGTCCACCATCTTAAAACTTTAAAATGGTGAGATGGACAGGCAGCAAGATCTCCTAAACCTGTTGTAGCCTTGCTTCCTAGTGCATAGTAAGTGGGAGCGTTAGATTATATACAATATAAGCTAAAAATAGAAGAAAATTAATAAAAGGAAAGTCTGACTTAAGGTCATTGTAGAGTTGAGTTAGTCTTTAAGCAAGAAACCTAAAGTGGGCAGCTTTAACAGTGGAAGACAGCTGAAACTGGGTCAGCTGAGCACAATTTGATACTGATCTAAAAAGCCCAGGTATCAACATCTCCCTTAATAACAAACTAAAGTTCACCCCGCAGCTGCTTCAGGAAGTTCTCTGCCTCGTGCTCCACGATAGGTAAATTGCTTAAGGTGTTTCGTATTCAGAATACAGGCACGAACCAGAGAAATTCCTCCGCAGCTGTTCCCGCAGTGAGACAGGATGATACGTCACCGAGAATTAGATATTGTGAGGGCTGGAGAATCCCTCTTGCTGCAAGGTAGATCAGCTGAATTCGAAGGGAACTCGTAAGAGAAACAGTTAGTTTATGTAAAAATAAGCTATTTTTATTTCTTTCTTTCCCAGATTCTGGAGAGTTCTCAGACACTGCTAGATGTCCTGAAGGGAGAAATTGGGAATGCTGGTAAAGCCAGTGAGCCGCAAAGCACTTCAAAAGAAAAAGAAAAACAAGCACGTGGACAAAAGCATTCCTAAACTTGCTTTTCAACCTGGGAAGTCCTGTTGGTCTGGGGCAGCTGCTGTTCTGGTACAAGGATGCCACATTTAATAAAAGTCTTTGTTTTGCAGAAGTACATTTTCCTTTCAGATGCACTTTGGTATTAGCGATCTACTAAAGTTAATCCTCAAATGCTAGAGATCAGGGTAGGCATCTACAAAAAAAACCCCAAATCTTTATTTTGAGCACAATGATACTGAAGCATATGCACAGAGGTGACCTATCAGCTAATGCTTTTGCCCTCAAAATAGCATTCTCCTTGCTTTGCCAAGAACAAGCTGAGAGTTCATCTGGTACAGACAGGGATTAGGGTACAAAGCTGGGAAGTGCGAAGGCAGCACTCAGCAAGGTGCAAATTACAGCTGCAAGGTAGAGCAGGCAAACTGGAAGGAGTAGAGAAGTCAGCAGCACACCAGGGCACCACGTGCTCCTGTTGAGAAGTAAGCTCTGCGCTCTCACCCCTCCACCGAGCCCGTCCTAACCAGAGGAGTTGTAGGCACAGGGCTAATTCACTGCGAACAGCAGGCCGAGTACCAGAGCAGCATTTCAGTTGGCTGAAGTCAGTGGAAACAGCTGCAGGATATTGTTGGCTTTAGCGTTCCTCGTTGATCCACAGTAGAACAAAGTCAGGACTAGTTCAGACACCTTGCCCCTAACTTTAACTGCAAGCAGCTTTTGCTTCGTCACCTGCATTTTTTTTAAGTTGCAAATCTAGCAATAGAGCTGCCTTAAACTGGCCTGAGCTTTTTCCACAGTGCAAGGTGCTCACTGGGACCTTTTCTACTAGAAAAGCTGTGCATAACCTCTTCAAACACAGTCCCTGACCTTCTTTGGCTGTGTGCACTGCTACTGGCTGTGGGCGCTGCTCAGTGTTTAACTCCACGTATCTGGTAACTTACTCATCCCTTAAGTCTAGCAGTCACTAGCAGTCCTGCATTCTTCCTCGCTCTACCCCAGTCTCAGCATCTTGTCCTGAAGTATTTTGGGAGAAGCCTCAGCACATGGGATTCACTATCAGCTAATGCTTTTGCCCTCAAAATAGCATTCTCCTTGCTTTGCCAAGAACAAGCTGAGAGTTCATCTGGTACAGACAGGGATTAGGGTACAAAGCTGGGAAGTGCGAAGGCAGCACTCAGCAAGGTGCAAATTACAGCTGCAAGGTAGAGCAGGCAAACTGGAAGGAGTAGAGAAGTCAGCAGCACACCAGGGCACCACGTGCTCCTGTTGAGAAGTAAGCTCTGCGCTCTCACCCCTCCACCGAGCCCGTCCTAACCAGGAGTTGTAGGCACAGGGCTAATTCACTGAGAACAGCAGGCCGAGTACCAGAGCAGCATTTCAGTTGGCGGAAGTCAGTGGAACACGCTGCAGGATATTGTTGGCTTTAGCGTTCCTCGTTGATCCACAGTAGAACAAAGTCAGGACTAGTTCAGACACCTTGCCCCTAACTTTAACTGCAAGCAGCTTTTGCTTCGTCACCTGCATTTTTTTTAAGTTGCAAATCTAGCAATAGAGCTGCCTTAAACTGGCCTGAGCTTTTTCCACAGTGCAAGGTGCTCACTGGGACCTTTTCTACTAGAAAAGCTGTGCATAACCTCTTCAAACACAGTCCCTGACCTTCTTTGGCTGTGTGCACTGCTACTGGCTGTGGGCGCTGCTCAGTGTTTAACTCCACGTATCTGGTAACTTACTCATCCCTTAAGTCTAGCAGTCACTAGCAGTCCTGCATTCTTCCTCGCTCTACCCCACTCTCAGCATCTTGTCCTGAAGTATTTTGGGAGAAGCCTCAGCACATGGGATTCACTGCTCCTTCCGACAGTACTTGTGTCACGTCAGATGCAGATGCACTGCCAGCCACATACTGCTCCTGGGAGGCCACGCGGGGAGCAGATCTTGAGTTAGCTTGAAAAGGACAAGCCTCAGAAGTGCAAGGAGGTGGAAAGTGTTCCTTTGTGTCCCCTCCAGCCAACATCTAACAAACTGCTGAGTTTTGGGTTTTGGTTTTTTTGCATTATCTTTCCAGAAATATTTAGGCACCCAGGGCAGAAGAAGAGAACAGCCAGAAGTAGGTATGTCCTAACATTTAGTCCTGGCTGTTTTTCAGCAGAACAACCTTCCTCCTGCTGCTACAATATACACCAGAACAAGTGCACGGTATGGAGAGCATTTTCAGTTCATAGACCAGTGTCAGCTTGACTAGACATTCATCATCTATATATAATAGACAAACCAATAAAAGTATCAAATTTAATCAAAGATACCAGCCTGTTCCTTTGGATAGAGCCACACGCTGGGGTACCACTCATTTCATGAAGCCCAAAGAGGCCGTATCTATTCCAACTGCATCTCTTTTAATCCCAGAAGTACAAATCACATTAGCAGCAGTGTTCCGTCTTTTCCAGAGTGCAATTTTGACCCTGAGTTTACAGTAGTAGAAAACTTAAATGGAATAGTCTAGCAGGTTCTTTTGCATATTGGCTGCATTAAACAATTACAGTAGAACTATAAAAATCCTAGAAAAAAAAACCATATTCCTTGTTCAAGTTCTGCAGAATAAAGGAGTGAAATGGCCATCCTGTGCTTTGCGTTAGAGGAGCAGAGCAAGCATGGCTAGAAGGAAGCCTCCCCACCAACCAAGACAGATAAATCTTGGGCCTGGCCCCGTTAGATGCTGGGACAAAGCAACAGGAGGAACTGGCAAACTGAAGCACAGTCAGAGCTGTGCCGAGGCTGGACGCCAGAGTCGGGTACGGACAGATCAAAGCCGTGGCCAATGTTTGGGAATCTTCAGGAGGCTCAAGCCAGTCTGGACACTTCTTTACAGATCAGTGCAAAAATGACACCTAAAGCTAAAGGCATTTATTCCCCTTCCCATCCCTCACACAGTGCGTTCAGTTTCCTTCACAAGAACGTAACTGGCACATCAATTCCACGATGGTTCAGTGAAACTAGACCCAGAAACATGCCAAGAACAAACCATGAACCTTCAACGGTTTTCCAAACTGACACCCAATCTAGCTGTCAAATCACAACCACTTCTGTGAATCCAGCTAACTGCCCAGATACTCCCAGCGCTCCAACTCTAGAACCGTTCTTCACTGGGGCCTCTGATGGGAGAAGTATTACAAAAGCCGTCCAGACCCCGTACAGTGCCTGGATGGACGGACTCAGATAAGCACTGAGAGAATCTACATCCATCCCGGGATTACAGATCTGTTCTTAAGATGCTTGCCTCATCGGCAGCTGATCTTGAACAAGGAATATGCAAGGCCACAGGTAGAATAAATCATACATCTTAAAAGTAGTAGTTAGGTCCCAGAATCCAGTGCAAATATTCTCCAAAGATGCCCAATAGCATCTAGTCCACCCTTGGCATCAGGATCCAGCGAAAACTGTGGTGAGGGAGGGACCCAGAAGCTTATTTCCGTGGTGCTTGCATGGACATTTGGAAGGTGCACTGACGCGTTTTGTCCAGCAGCCGCTGCTGCAGGCTAGAAGGTGAAGTGATCAAAAATACAGAGCAGGCTCGCTGCTGAAATCGGAGAGTCCGCCCTTCTCTGCTGGGGTGAGCTGTGGAGAAAGCAGAGTTGACATGGAGGTGTCATCAAATCCAAAGCAAATGAGTACCTGCACCTTTGGACAGTGAAGGCTGCATTGGCACCTTACCCGGGGCTAACGAGCACATTTAATTACCCCCTCCAAACATGCCCTGGAGTACAAAGTGTGCCAGCTACCTTAAGTCTCCTTTACACATACAGGGAGAGGCAGGTCTGCTAGTGGCAGTGGGACCTTGTGTTGATCCCTTTGTGAGCAGTGGCACACCTCCCTGGGCGGCGAACACACACACAGGTGTTCAGTGGAAGGCACATCCCGTCCCATCCACTGTCCAGACCAACCCGAGCACTGAGATAAGAGCACAGCAGGACTGAGCCAAGTCCTGCTTATTTAAAGTCTCACCATGACATGGTTCCCCTGGGAATCAGCTTCCTTTGGGAGGGGTCCCTCTGCGGCAGGCATCTCTTCATATTTCTGCTCCTGCCACCCGCTGAACTTCACGGAGTGCTTTGGGGTGTAGCTGGATAAATCTGCTGGAAGGACAAAGCTGATGTGAGTATTTCTCACTGCCCCAAAAAGACGTGGGATCAGGATCCTGGCAGGGACAGCAGGGAAGCTGCCCATCTGCAGTTCCCTGTTCTGGTTCAAGCCCTGCCCCCACTAAGCCCAAATCCTGCTGTCAGAAGTCACCTCCATTGGCATTTCCACCTGTGTGGAGCCCCAAGAGGCTCTGTAGGAAACACGAACAGTGTTTGACACCACCAATAACCCCACAGTGCCAACACAGTGCCTCGCTCACCTGAGTTAGGTGTACTGGGATGCAAAGTGCTACTTGGGCGTGGAATGTAAAAGGTGCAAGGCTTGTCCTCCTCTGTTTCAGAAGAATGTTCTTCTTCTTCCTCCTCCTCTTCTTCTGCCAGTGAGCTCTCTGACGGGTACTCAAACATAGTCTGCAAACTTGTCTCATTGAAAGAGATCTTCATCTACACAACAGAAAAGGAGAATTATTAGAAAGCAGCACAAGAAACCATCGATCGTAACATTTCCTCCAGCAAAGACCATCTCCCACTCCAGGGCTTCACCCTGGTTTAAAGGAGCCATTGCATATCCCCCCCACCTTTCCCCATGTGCCTTGCCAAATCTCTTACCGCACTGAGAGAAACCACAAAGGTAGGTAGCCAAATAGATGGGATGGAGTCAGGGGGCTGAGAGGTCGAGAGTACCTCTGGCTTTTTGCCCCAGCACACACTTTGCCATCGTCTAACACCGTGATGCCCAGCAGCCAGGAGGAGCTGCAGGCATGTCCCTCAAGAGGGATCAGTGCTGCCAAGGAGGATAGGAAAGCATCCACATGTTGGAAAGGTGACATCGCTAATGCCTGCCAACTCATTTGTGTACCCATGCTCTAGACAGTAGAAACATCAGTGATCAGGACTACATTTTTGGGAGGACGTCCTGGCAAAAAGCTATTTAAGCTAGATAAACACAGGGCTTAATACCAAAAGTGAGAAGATGGAAGCAGCTAAAGGAAAGGTGGTAACAGGTGGTAGTAGAGAGGGAAAATACTGGACAAGTGGGAGGTACTTAAAGGTTCTGTTCTGAAACCAGTTTTATTTAGTATTCTCACTAGTGACCTTTGCACAATAACTGGGACACTGAGAATGAAGATGACTCCAACATGGGAGTTCATCAAGGAAAAAACAGAATTTTATGGGTCATTCAGAAAACTGGGGAGCAAGAACACTAGAAATGGGACAATGTTTAAGCTCAGCCCTTGCTCTAAGAGAAGCTCGTCACCTGTGAATAACTGAGAAAGAAAATTTTGGATTGGCTACAGGACTGTAATCATCATTAGGATTCTGCTTAAATAAACCGGGAATAAAGCAGGGTATTTCCACTGGAAATAGGGACTGCCTGGCTCCGTCCTCCCTGTAACACCCCGCAGGTAGTGGAAGGCAGCGATTGGACTCCCCCTTTCTCTCCTCCAGGCTGAACTCCAGCTCCCTCAGCTTCTCCTCCTATGCCATTTCCTCCAGCCCCAGAAGCACTTTGGTAGCCTCTGCTGGACCTGCTCCAGTTTCTGCATCTATCCTGCAGCAGGACCCCCAAACCCAGACACAGTAACTCCAGATGTCCTCTTCCAAGTTGAAAGGAAAAGCCGAGAGAAGGGGTTGTTCCCCTGAAGCCTTACATGTCTTAATCATTATCTACCATTCTGCTTAGAAGATCTGGTTACAAGTCATCTCAACAGGTGGGGCGGAGATTCAGCCTGTTCACACCAGCGAAAATGAAGGTTGAGAAAAAGCGTAACAGCTCTTTTTAAGTACATCAAGAAAATAAACACCAAGGAGCAAATAAGAACTGCTGATGCCAGCATACAACAGACAAACAAGGAGGATAAGCTTGCCAGGAATATTACGCCAAAAGTAGGGAAGTATCTAGCCAACATGGATCAAGGTTCAGGACCAGCTGCCTAAAAGGGTGTTGTGATCCCTTTACTTCTAACGACATTTAAAATTGAGCTAATAGGGTTATGAACAGAATTAAAAGCACGTGGTTGCTTGTGACAGGCGGTAGGAGCTGGATGGTCCAGAAGATCTCTTCTGACGCTGTGTAATAACTGGCAAGAAGAAAGTGCAGCACATTTGCCCCATGTGCCTTATTTGCAGTTTCCCTCATATACAAAATACACCACAGCCTGAGAAATGGCACGTGGCCCCAAGCAGCTATCAAGCAACGACGCACCACGTGTGAAGCCCAGATGCATGTATTTCTTGCACCAGCAGCAGCCGCCTCTCTGCAGCTCCTGTGCATGGAGCACCGGTGATGCTGCTGCTGCCAACAGGCCCTGCTGAAGCCAAACTTGCAACTGCATGGGGGGACAGAGCCTGCAAACCGGCAGCGAGCGGGAGCCGGCCTGCTACTGCGTTATCCTGCGCTGCCCACAGACAAGACACGCTGGAGCTGTGTGGGTGACAAGGGTTTTCAAGGCAAGACAGTGAGCATTTCACTGCTGCTTTTCAGAAAAGCGTTGAGGGGAGCTGGAATCAAACCCAGGTAACACAGTGAGTACGTAACGCCTCCTCCACACTGCAAATGCGCACGATGGAGCTGTGTGCTATTCTGCCCGAGTCCGGGATTAGTACTCGGACACAGGCTGGCTCCCTTCCCCACGCTCCCAGGAGAAGGAAGGATGGAAATAACAGAGAGGGCAACCAGCTGCCTTTCCCCATTCATTGCCACAGCCCTGGCCAGAGCCACTTTGACCTTCTCCAGATGACACACGGGGAGGGGAATTACTGTATTTCAGAGAAAAGGGTTGGAATAAAATGGCCCTGAAGATCTGACTGTCCCAGCCGCTGTTCCCTGAATTTCTCACCCCTGCTGCTGACCTAGATGCTCCCTGATCCGAGCCAAGCAGCAGAGAGGGCAGCGACCGCTCACAATGTGGCGTCTGTGCTGCGGGGACGAGCCACGCTGCCAGGCACGAAGGCCATGAGGGTGGAAGTGCCCAGGGCTCCTGGAAGCTCAGAAGCTATCCCAGAACCAGACACTGCACGCAGGCTGCTTACCAGTGCTGGCAACTATGCTGAACAGGGCAAGAAGTACTTGACTAAACGTGGAAAATAAAGGGGACAGGAGAGATGTGCCTTGTTTTTAGAATTTAAGCTTTGGAGACAGAACTAAGTTTTCCTGGTTTTCTGCTATCAGGAGGAAATGTCTAAGAAAAATGACTCTGAGTCTAATTTGGACCAAAGCTGCCTGTAGTGCAAGAGGAGAAAACAGCCTCACCAGGGAGTAAAACCAAAGAGTAGAAAGCAGCAGAAATGACCAGGAGACACCCCCCATGCAGTGCCCAGAGGCAACACACCAACAGCCCAGCCTAAGCCCTGAACTAAAGCAGCTCCCACTTGCCCACAGCCAATTCAATTCAGGCCACGCTCGCTCCCCGGAGCCAGGCTGGGTGTCCCACAGAACGCTCTGCCAACAGGGTTTGTCGGGTACCTGCTGCAGAGAGGCTGCAACGTCGTAGGAGGCAACGTTGAAGCTATTCAAAAAGAGCAATCATTAACCACAGCGGTGCCAGCCCCATTCACCCAGGGCCCCAGCCTGGGGGAGAGCTGGTAACAAAATAATTTGCTGTTTCAGCAAGACGTCCGGTTCGGCCAGCACAGCCTTCTCAAAGGCTGACACCAGGCAGTCCTGCTTGGCATGAGCACATCCTGGCGCAAGACCCCCGCCAAAAACCACGTTGGCTTGCTCTACAGTAGCGTCCCACCCCCCCGCACCCACTGCGCTGCTACCAAGAAGTAGGAAGAGCCCTATGGCCGCTCTGCAATAAAGCACTCGGATGCACCCAGGCACAGCAAACACCGGAGGAACAACCAGGCCCTGGCACAGAGTCGGACTCCGGCAAACAGGCTCTGCATGAGCAGCCGCCTGGCCCGCCCCTGCACACACCCCCGGGGCGCTCAGTCAACCCTGCCCATGCAGAGCGAGAGCCCCAAAAGCATCCCCAAAACTCAAAGCGATAAACCTGCCGTGGCATCGCCTGGGTTCCCCCCGCAAGCTCCCCTCCCCAAGCATGACGCGGTTTCAGGGGAAGCACAAAGCAGCTCTGCTGGATCCAACAGAAGATGGAGGGCAACTTATTCAGGCAAAATTAAGGGACACATGGGTCAACACAGCTGCCTTAAGAAACCCTCTGAGCAGCTAATGAGCAGAACTGAGCACAGTGCACAGGGAACACAGGCAGATTCAGTCCCAGGAACCATCTAAAAAGAAAAATGAAGAGCTCAGTAATGGCACAGACAACAGGTTTGCACAGCCAGCAGCCCCTTGACAGAGCATATGGACTTTTATGGAAACACAAAAGGTGACAGGGGTCATTTTCTTTAGAAGAAAAACGTATCCCAGAAGAGCCAAGCACACCCGAGCCCAGCCAGAGAACTCTGCTCATCGTGTCTCAGCAGTGGTTCCCCCGTTTCTGCCTCAGCAGCAGCTGCCAGTTGTGGAAAGGAAGAATTTTGCACCCTTCAGTTGTGGATGTTTGCAGGGATTTGTCACTATTTGCTCAGCTGAATGCTTCACCCAGAACTCTGTCACAAAACCAGGGTCCAAGCCAAACCCATATATCTATACATTAATACTCTGCCCAGCAATCAGAGCCACACTGGGAAGAGCAAGGCAGGCTTTTCAGGGAATATCGTGCTGTTCAGTCACCAGATTTTTGTTGCCATAGCAAAAATCATTTATTTATTTGCTAGGATTTGAACAGTAATGAGTAGAGCACCCAGGAAAGAGAAGCCAGGGCGAACATTGCCCAACAAGCATAAATCTGAGTAGTCACACAGGGCTTGCTTAGAAAAGAAAAGAAAAAAAAGTCAACCTTGTTTCAGGGGTGCAGGCTGTCAGGACCCAGCCTGCACCCAGACTGACAACGAAAGAGCCCCCATGTACAAAGACATATTAGAAATAAAAATAACCAGTTTACAGAAGCCAACCCGCGATATGAACAATGAAAGTCAGCAGACACCTTGCCTCCAAAAGCTGAGGTGGGAAAGTCAGCAAGACTCCACAGTTAATGAAAGAGCAAACACCCGATGGCTTCTCACAAACCAGGGATATATATCTCTGTAAGTCTCAGGAGCAAATCAACGGGTTAATCTGCATCCTCAACTCCAGAAGCAACCTCTTTAGTGTGGCTTTTCTCTTCTTTAGTGTTTGCTTTGTGGCAGATGTGGCAAAGCCAAAGTGATAATGTAGGGTGTTTTACACCTTTTGACCAGGCACCTCTCTGGCAATCCAAATTCTCACCTTATAATAATAAGGAAAAAAGAAAATTGTTCTAGACATTAAAAGAAAAAAGAGAACAAAAATCACCCTTTAACTATATTCCAGCAAGGAGAGTCAGAGTCAGCATATTGATCCCCACCATAGCAGCCTACAATGGGACTGAAAACGATTGAGCCCATTTCCCCTT